CTTTCTTTCTTTCTTTCTTTCTTTCTTTCTTTTTCTTTCTTTTTTCTGTTTTTCTTTCTTTCTTTCTATCTTTGTGACAAGAGATGTCCATAATTTGGTGATTTCACTCTGACCACCTTCATAAACACATAGATTTTAGAAAGTTTCCACTATACTAGGTTTCAATACTACCTCTCAAATATGTCTTAATTTTACCTGTATTTCCCTGTACTCCCTTCCATGACCCTCTGTCCCTTCCTCTCTCCCACTTTTCCACTATCGTAGCCCTTGCATATCTGTTCATAATTTATTGTGTATATTTAATGTTTTGATGACTGTGTGCTCAGGGGACTTTCTTTTCTGGTCCAATCTACTTGATGTTCTGTATTCTTCATGAACTTAGATAGGCATCGCTTTCTTCGAGTTAGTATTGTTTTCTATGATTTTGTTGAAAATATTTTCTGCGCCTTTGACATGTGTTTCCTTATATTCATCTATCCCTATGATTCATACATCTGGTGTTTTCAAAGTAGTGACTCATATCTCCTGGATATTATGTGCCAAGAGTATTAAATATATAATATTTTATTTAATGTATTTATTTTTTCTACCATGTCTTCAATACAAAAAGGTCTCCATTCTATCTATTTGTTGGAGAAGATTGCCTTTGAGTTACGTGTTTGAGCTCCTGAAATATTCATTTTGAGATTTCCTCAATTTGAATTTTCTGTATTGATTTTATTTCTACCCAAATGGAAGTCAGTTTAATTCATTTCTTTCCACTGTATCTTTGTGGTTTCATAGATTTCATTTCCTTTTAAAAAATACCACTAGTATATTCATAACAGCTGTTTTAAGGATTTTCCCTTGTGCCTCAGCTATGGTGAAATGTCCAGGGCATGCTGTGTTATGATTGCTGTGCTCTAATAGAGATATATTGTTCTGGTTGTTATTGATTGTGTTTTTACACTGGAATTTAGGCATCTTAGATTGGGAATATAATAATTCTAGGTGCTGATGTCTGGTCTTGTCACTATTGGGTGGGAATTTTGTGCCCTGGCTTTTGTTTCACTGTGCTTATTAGGAGAATGAGGTGGCTTTACGTAGCCTGTAGAAACTACATTAAGGTACCAAATAAGATGTACTTATTGGTAGTGGGACCAGAGAATTAGGAGTACAGATGGGCTGGGCTCAATAGAGGGAATTCACGATAGGAAAGAAAGCAGGGTGTTTCACCAGGATCTGCATAGTCAATCTTTTTGGAATGGGGACATATAACGAGGAAAGGCCACAGCAGAAGGTTTGATAAAGTGGTGGGGATGAGACTCAGGTATTGTATTTGAAGAATGGACAAAGAGATGAAATCTGAGAATGTAACCTAATTGCTTCCCTTGTCATAACAGGCTTTGGCTTCCTCAGAAGCACATTCTGGAGTCAGGGGCTGGGGCAAAGCAATTCACTTCCCAAAGTTTGGAGTTCTTTTGCAGAGATAAGAATGAGACTGGATAATTGGAGTTGGAGATATGCTAGGAAAAGTGAAGATCAATCTGCAGATAGCCTGATTTCCTGGCCAGAGTAATCAGTCTGTTCCCAGGAAGTGCTGAACTTGGAGGCTGGGATAATGCAATGAGTTGAGGGAGCAGTATTAGAAGGGAAAGATCTTTGGACCCACTAGAGAAGGGAAGTGCTGCCATATGTTTTCTGCTACAGAGCTAAAGATGACTTGGGCATAGGATCTGGAAAAGCAGGGGAAAGGTGAAGGTTTGTTGTCAGCCTACCTACTTCCCTAAAGGGATTGAGAAAAACAACTATTAATAAAAAATTAAAGCATAGCAAAACAAAACAGATGAAATTACTCAAAAATGATTTGACCTCTTAGTGTTAATACTCAGGAAGCAAAAGTTTACATATAAAGACAAAGCTTTCATCACACTATTTTTCTATATGTAGAGTCTTTTATGTAATCATCTTGAAATTCAATTTTCCCTAGGAAGGATCACTACCTATCTGTCTGCTGTACACTAGTGCAGATTCCCAAAAGGCACCTTTCTGACAATTTAACACAATATTATCAGTTATTGACATAATTGTTTACTTTCCTATGAAATATTAGGTAGATATGTGATAAATATGTAAAAAATGATTTAAACTAAAGGAATCTCATGAGTCCAGGGAGAGGGCTATTATTCAAATCACAATTTTTGGTGTTCTAAGATTTTGCATGGTGATGACTTTCTCCTAGGATTAAACTAATTGTTGTAGTATACAGATATTCTTGCAACAATTAGAGATCTGAGACAGAAAAATTGTGATTTATTTATTGGATATTTTATTTACATTTTATATGTTATCCCCTTACCACATTCCCCGCCCTGTCCAGGAACCTCCTATCCCATCACCCCTCCTCCTGCTTCTCTGTGGATGTGTCCCTACCTACCTCCCCACTCCAACTTCCCCATCCTCAAATTCCCACCCACTGGGTCGTCCAGCCTTCATGAGACTAAGTATCTCTTCTCCCACCTATGTCTGACAGGGCCATCCTCCCTTACCTATACAGCTGGAGCCATGGATCCCTCCCTAAGTGCTCCCAGACTGGTGGTTTAGACTCTGGAAGCTCTGGTTGGTTGGTATTGTTGCTCTTCTCATGGGGCCTCAAACCCTTTCAGCTCCTACAGTCTTCACTCTAACTCCTCCATTGGGAACCCCATGATCAGTTCAATGGTAGCTATGCGCATCTACCTCTGGATATGTTAGACTCTTGCAGACCTCTAAGGAGACAGCTGTATCAGGTTCTTGTCAGCATGCACTTTCTGACTTCCACTTCAGCATCTACTTTTGGTGACTCCACATGGGATGGATACCCAGGTGGCATGGTCTCTAGACGGTCCTCCTTCAGTTTCTGTCCCTGACTTTTTCTCCATATTTGCTCTGTTGAGTATTTTGTTACTCCTTCTAAGAAGGACCAAAGCACCCTTACTTGGTCTTCCTTCTTCATGAGCTTCATGTGGTCTGTGAGTTGAGTCTTGGGTATTTCAAGGTTCTGGACTAATATCCAATAATCAGTGAGTGAATACCATGTATGTACTTTTGTAATTGGCTTACCTCACTCAGGATGATAAAGGACCTTCACATAAAACCAGATACACTGAAACTAATAGAAGAGAAAGTGGGGAAGAACCTCAAATACTTGGTCACAGGGGAAAAGTTCCTGAACAGAACATCAATGGCTTATACTCTATGATCAAGAATTGACAAATGGGACTTCATAAAATTGCAAAGTTTCTGTAAGGCAAAGGACACTGTCAATAGGACAAAACGGCAACCAACAAATTGGGAAAAGATCTTTACCAATCCTACACCTGATAGGGGGCTAATATCCAATACATACAAAGAATTCAAGAAATTAGACTTCAGACAACCAAATTACCCTATTAAAAAATGGGGCATAGGGGTTAACAAAGAACTCTCAACTGAAGAAACTCGAATGGCTGAGAAGCACCTAAACAAATGTTCAGCATTCTTAGTCATCAGGGAAATGCAAATCAAAACAACCCTGAGATTCCACCTCCCACCAGTCAGAATGGCTAAATTTAAAAACTCAGGTGATAGTAGATGCTGGTGAGGGTATGGAGAAAGAGGAACACTCCTTCATTTTTGGTGGGACTGCAAGAAGGTGCAACCACTCTGGAAATCCATCTGGTAGTTCCTCAGAAAATTGAACATAGCATTACCTGAGGACCAAGTTAAACCACTCCTAGGCATATATCCAGAAGATGCTCCAACATATCACAATGACAAATGTTCCACTATATTCATAGCAGCCCTATTTATAATAGGCAGAAACTGGATAGAACCCAGATGTCCTTCAACTGAGGAATGTATACAAAAAATGTGATACATTTACACAATGAAGTATTACTCAGCTATTAAAAACAATGAATTTGAGAAATTCTTAGGTAAATGGATGGAACTAGAAAAATTGTGATGTTGATGCCCATCTGAGTTGTAACCTGAGATGCTTACTCAAAACAAAGTCTCTTAGAAGTACTCAGAGTAATAAATGTTGAGAACATTATTATGAAACTCTTGTAAAGCTGTATTGTTTTCAGTTAGCTTAAACAAACAGTATTATCTGGCATAAACAATAATCTATTTTAGGACTTTAGGCACATTCCTTCATTTTCCTTGATCATTGTCTAGAAGTATTTCTATAAGTTACTTTAAACATCCCAGGGCAGGATATATATGGTTGTACATACTTTTTATGCTGGCACATAGAAAAAAAAAGCCAGATAGATGAATCTCTGATCTCTGTGAGCTTGAGGTATACTAGTCTCCATAGCAATATCCATTGCATAAGCCAAAACTCCAGCATGAGGCCCAGTCTTTTTTTCCCATTGAATATTTTACTTACTTTTCTGATGTTATGCCCTTTCCCCCATTTCTCCCCCAAACCAAAAGCCGCCTATCCTATCCCCCCTACTTCTGCTTCTATACTGATGTACCCCACCTACCCTCTCACTCCCATCATCCTGACCTAGAATTTGGCCACACACTGGGGCATCCGGCAATCATGGGAGCCAGGAATTCCTCTCCTGCTTTTGACTGACAAGGTCATCCACCCCTACATACCCTGGAGCCATGGATCAGTTCCTACATTCTCCCAGTCTGGTGGTTTAGACCCTGGAAGCACTGGTTGTTTGGTCTTAAGAAAAGAACTCTCAATATACTTAGTGAATGTGTTGGCACACAGCTGTGACCACAGCACTAGAGAAAATTAGGCAAGTAGGACTGAAATTCAAGGTCATTATCCTCTATAAAGTAAGTTTAAATTTACTCTTGGTTCTATGAGACACTACCTCTAAAATATTCTTCTACCTAAAAAGAAGCCCCAGGCTCTGTTTTTTAGGAAATAAAGATAAGCCACATTGCAAGCCCTCTCAGTACATAAATGTTGTCTGTGAGTCCTTCTTGCCTTTGTTTCATTGCCTTTTCTTGACTAAACTCCACTCATGCTCTTTCATCTGCTGATGCTCTTTCTTCACATCCCTTTTCTCATCCCCCATTCACAGATCCCTTCTTCTTTAAAAAAAAGATTTATTTATTTAATGTATGTGAGCACACTGTTGCTATCTTCAGTCACACCAGAAAAGGGAATCACATCATATTACAAATGATTGTTAGCCACCATGTGATTGCTGGGAATTGAACACAGGACTTCTGGAAGAGCAGTCAGTGCTCTTACCCTCTGAGCCATCTCTCCAGCCCCACAGATCCCTTCTTTGCATCTGTACTCTCAGAGCTCTCTGTTTATTTCCCTTATTTTTGTTTCTTCTTTGTTTAGGATACAAAGGGAACCATAAAGAAGATCTGTGACTTTCTAGGGAAAAAATTAGACCCTGATGAGCTGGATCTAGTCCTCAAGTACAGCTCCTTCAAAGTCATGAAAGAAAACAACATGTCCAATTTTAGTACCATCGACCAAGATTTGTTTCCTAATGGCTTGAACCTCCTGAGAAAAGGTAAAGGAATTGTCTAGCTTCATAATATGTCAGAACATGTTAAGGACTTGTGCCAATGAATTTCTAAGTAATTGGAATGTACTGGCAGTCACTGATCATCACTGATAGCTTCTCACAGACACTACAAAGTAATGGTTTATGGAAAAGATGTGGGCTTTTTCACTCTGAACAGTTGATTTATTCTGGGAGACAATCTTGGGATTGAAGATGGTAATGTCAAATAACTTCAATGAAAAATGGGAAAAAGTTCATGTTTCTAAGAGACATTGTTAAGTTCCCTTTGTCAAAATCCTCAACTTCAAAATATATAAAGTGTAATGCAGTAGGTCATAGATATATGTGAGATGATAACCACAGAACCACAAAAATTACATTAACATCTGGAAAAAATGTTGAACAGATCAAGAATGCTGCTACAGAGTAGGCCAAAAGTAAACCCCAAAAGGACTGTAAAAATTCTCTAGTGTTAAAATCTGATGGTATTTGCCAACCTATATTTAGATTACTTTAGGTTCATGATCTTTCTCTTCATTCTGAACTGCCTCTCCTAGAAGGGGAATTTCAATCCTCTCTATTTCTGTGCCACCTCTCTATACTGGGAGCAGATTTTGTGTGTGGTTTCATAGCTATGAAGTTAAGGAGTGATTTTGCTAGCATGAATCATAGTTTGAGACTTTCCCAGACCTGATAAGGTAATGATAGGTGAGATGGAACTCAGAGTAGAAGAAGGAAGTTTTCAAGAATCAGATATTTAACAGACTTAAACCATTGGTTTAAATGAAAGTAGTAAACAGTTGTGGGTATAATTTTCTTTACCCATAATTTAAATGATTCAGCCTTTACTTTCAGTCCTCCTCTCCAGTGTGTGATTTGGATACTAAGAATATAAGGACATCAGGAGTTTTCATAGGTAAAAAGAAATCAAAGTAAATACTAGATTTGATTTAATCCAATACTCTTAGTATCCTCAAAATAGGCAATTTTGAATCAGATTTAGGCATAATGATATATCACTCTCCACAAGAGAATTGGTATCTATTCACTAAAGAGCAAGTCCTCTTTAAGCATAGACTGCTGTTGTCATATGAACTCAGACTCCTGCAGTCTGTGGAGACATATTTCTCTGCACTAGAACTGAAGGCCTCACCTAAAAGAAGTGGTCTGTTCATAGATTTTCTAAAGTGAATCAGAATTTGCAGAGGAAAAACAGTATAGCAACAAAAATGTCTGTTATTAAGTACCTAAAGGAATGAAGAAGCTCTGTTAATATCAAAGGGATAAGGAAACTGACAAGCTAAAGATTTAGCAGAGACACATCAGAGCAAATGGAATAGAAGTTAAGACAAAATTCCATGAGGACAATTGTTGTTTCTGCTTTTCCAGGAAGATACTCCTAGGATGAAAACATACTTGGATTAAATCTCTTCCAAATACACACAGTATTTTTCATGTAGCTTAGATGATAGGAAGAATCCATGCATACACATATTCATTCATACATACATGTATACATAGATACATGCATAAGAACAGGTATTATAGTTCTGTGAAAATATTGATCAGACTTAATAAGTCTTTTGTAATTTAATTATCCCAGTTATTTTATGTAGCAAACTTTTTTGCATTTGAAGACAACTTTTATTCTTGAGAATTATTTTTCTTATACTAGTGTGGCACATAGCTAGCAAGCCATGTACCTCTGGAAAACAGGTCTCTGATGGGGGACACCAAATTCCTTACCCTCTTGTAGCAGTACTTCATCATAGGGGATGATGAAATGGATACATCCTGAAACAATTTTGAAAGAAAAAAGTATATAAAGATAATCTTTGTTTTCTCAATTCCTTTATCAGATTGGTTCCATTTTTGAATTCTTAAAGTATGAGCAAATCAAAGACTAATTCTAAAACCAGTTTCATTACTTATCATTAGATAACCTAATTCCCTAAATTATAAAATGTTAAAAAGCTCTACTAAGTGGTAGAGTTGCCTTAGCCAGAAGGAATAAACGAGACCTATTTTTCTGTATCCTCTTAATGCTTTTCTTATCAAGACTCAAGAAAAATATCTTTTATTGTCTCTGGAGACCTGCCTTGTCAGCATTACCTGGAAGACTCAATCATTCAAGTAGGTGAGATGAATCTAGATTTAACCTCCAAGCATTAATATTTGACATGCAATTGTAGTCATTGTAATTCCATATTTAGACACTTAAGTAAATGCATACTAGAGAGATGATCACGCTCAATCAGCCACAATTTGGTTAACAAGAATTTTATAAAGGCAACACCACAATCAAGACATGTGTAGGAAATATCTTCTGACAAACCTCAAAAGTCTCAGCCTTGATTACTTCACAGTGTATGTTTACTAGACACAGTACTTGGCCCAATAATCAATTTCACTGGTATCATCCAAAGACATTAATCAGACACATAAAGGGAAGGTGGCCTAAGGACAAAGGAAGAAGCCTGCCATCTTCAGGCTGAAAATAAAGGACTCGAAGGTTGGGAAAACACCCTGATGTGAGACCTTCACACTTGTAAGGAAGTTGCTTTTCAACAAGAGTTAAACCAGCACACATTAAGGTTATTCTGCCATCTGACACACAAGAATTTGGTGAGATTTTTTAGAGAGAAAGAATGAAAATAAATGTACACCTATAAGGTGAACAAGACTTTAAAATAGGTGGACTTAGAACACAGTGTGTGTACCTCCAAAGATGTGGTTTTCTCACATGGACTGATTCATTACATTAGGAAGACATATTAAATTTGTAGAGATTCTTGTAGTCCAGCATCTATCTGATTCGGCTTATCAGGATCCAGGCATGCTGTGAAAAACAATGGGAAAACATGTTCTATTAATGAAGAAAATAAGGAACATTAGAGTAGCAATGGATACTGATAGGTACAGATCTTATTAGATGACATTTTGAAATTAATATCAATTAATAGTATATTAGTTGAATATGCTATATCAGTAGTGTATATTTTTATGAATTCTTTATATTTTCTTTTTATGATTGGAAATTTTATTTAATTTATTTACAATACAGATATTATTCCCCTTTCTCAATTTTCCCTCCCTAGAACCCCCATCCCATCTGTCCTCCTCCTTTATGCTTTCATAAGATTTTGATTACATGCATGTATTAAGGTCAGTTCTTGGTTGATGGTCTAGCAATATAAGACATTACAATTCATTAGATGCAAATAGTCAAGGAACAAGAAAAACAACAAACACAAGTCGTCAAAGAAAAAGCAAGGTTTTAAATCCAGTTACGTGCACACTCCCATGATCACCGTTTCTAAGGGATTATCAGGATGACCAAACTATCAGAGCCTACTTCCTTGTCCTAACACAAGGTCATTTTCATGTCTGAAGCTTGCTTCCTTGTTCTAGTCTAAAATTTAGATTCCTGCCTGAAATTACTGATTTGTTTTAGCCTAAGATTTAGATTCCTACCTGAAATTATTTCTTTGTTCTAGCCTAATATCAGATTCCTGCCTGAAGCCTACTTCCTTGTCCTTGGCCAATGTCATATTCCTGTAAACAACCCATTTCCTTGTCCTTGGCTTGTTCTCCCAAGTGTCACCAGTAATTTGCTCTTATATTATCCAGACTTTCTCATACTAAGAGCACATTCCAAGAGGTAAAACAATTAACCAAATGTCACTAAAAGGGAACTAATGATTTATTATAGGTGCTAAAAACATTGCCTGGGTTTATCTATAATAAGTTTCACTACTTTCCTAGTTATAGTTTTAAACCTTCAGTGAACCTGTGGAGCTAGACAGGTGATGGATGTTTAGCCAGATGATTACTCCTCTTGAATATGCGTGTAAATATTCTCTGTTGTAAACTTCTATTTCAATTTATGATTTGATTTTTGGTGTGAACTTGTGATGAACTTTGAAACATGTGATCATGTATTCTGAAAGATGTGTAAGTACTGAAGAAAAAGAAAGAGAGAGAGTCATCCATCCTTTCCTTTCCTTTTCCCCTGCCTAGAATTTTTTCCCTTAGAACTTTTCCCATATTAGAATTTTTTCCTTTTCCCTACTTAGGACCTTTCCACTTTTCCCCTTAGATAGCTTCCATAGGAAACTTTTAACACTTAATAATAAACTCTATAACTTCTCTAAGTGTTTTATCTTCCTGCTACCTCAGACTAGCAGGCATAAGTTAGAGCTCAGGAGTTCCTGCTGAAACAGTACAAAGGCTATTTACTTAATCCTTTGCAACCAGACCTCCCTGGATCAAAACAGCTACCCTGGGAACTCAAATAAAAAGACCCATGTCTCTAGCTGTATTTGTAGAGTAGGATGGACTTGTAGGACATCAGTGGGAGAGGAGGGTCTTGGTTCCTTGAAAGTTGGAAGGCCCAGTGAGGAGAAATTCAAGGGAGGTAAGGTGAGAGAGTGGGTGGATTGGAGTATACCCTCAGAGAAATAGGAGGAGGACGATGGGTTAGGGGGTTTCTGTGAGTAAGGACTGGGGAAGGGGATATCATCTGAAATGTAGATAAGTAAAATCCCCAATAATAAAAGAAGAAGAAAAAGAAACAAACAAATAATGGAACTGGCTACATTTTCTATAATACAGCCCAAAGTATGAAAATTAACTTATGTGATGATACAGAAAGACAGCAATGTAATAAAGAAAAGCATGACTTCTATTGTCAATCTTTTTTGGATTCACATCCTCATCCATCATTATCATGCTTGATAAAATCTCAAAGACTGATTTTTCCTCATCACCAAAATAGGCATACTGCTTACACTTTTCTCATATATTCATGGATTAATTAAAATAATCACACACTGAGTATGGCCTACATGTCTGGCACTCTTTGCAAAAGGAACCACATAGTAATTTAAGAAACACTTTCTTTTTAAACATATTAGATGCATGTTCTATGTGTATATTCAAAGCAGAAGTGCATGGAACACATCACAGTGACACAGCTTGAAAACAAATCAAGGATGGGGGCTGGTGGATTGCAAATGGAGGAAAGATAGAGAAGTTTACAGTGTCCTTAATAAAAAGACAAAGACCAAGATATAATTATATAAAAGATATTTGTCATCTAGGTTGAAGGAGGACACAACAGAGAATGAGAAACTGGAGTATTTCTAAAACTTAAACTGAAGACCTTCTGGAATGAAGTGGTGAAAACCAATGTATGGTCAGAAAAGACAGTGCTATAAAGGACAGGGGCTCAAATTATACACATCTTCAAGTATCATGAAACACCATGGCTGAGTGAAACATATGTCTTTCGATGTTCTCAGCTGGGAGTGGCTGTGTGTATCTTGTGGGAAAATCAAGACAGCTGAAATACTGATCATAACTGTGTGTATCTGTATCACTCATGTGAACTCACACACACAAAAGTAAAAACTATTTTAAGATATTATTTAAAAGTTGTTTGCATGTTGTGAAGAACTTCTATAAGTAAATACTAAAATATAGACAAAACAATTGAAGTCGGTTTGGATCATTGAGAGGACCAACACTGTTGAGTTGAATAGTGTGATGGAAACAGGTTAGGTGGGAAGCAGGAATAATCTGGATATATAAAAAGATCAAACCATTGTTGCTTCTGTTATATTGTCTAGTATATAGTTTGGGAGAAGAAATTGCGGGACATAATTTCCACAGAGGGAGAAGTCTGTGTATATGATTTCAGGAATGTAGAAGGTTTCTACAGAAAATTGTAGTTTGTTCTATTAACAGTGTGCTCTTTATCAAACGGATGGTAAGAGCACATGATGGGAGGAGTTAGAGCAGTGTTAAGACCATTCTTAATCCACCTTTGTATTTGCTTCCTATTTTCCAGGCACAACTGGGGACTGGAGGAATCACTTCACAGTAGCCCAAGCTGAAGCCTTTGATAAAATATTCCAGGAGAAAATGGCTGGATTCCCTCCAGGGATGTTCCCATGGAACTAAGTTTTCAAAAATTTAAATATTATATGAACACTAATGTGTATGTTCCTGTTGTTCTATATGTGAATAACTGAATGTGGTCATAAAATAAATCCTATTGTGGAATTGTGAATGTAATTTTTTAAAACATAGAGTTACTAATACTACTATATGAACACTGATGTTTACATTTCTGTTGCTATGTATGTGAATAACTGAATGTGGTCATAGAATAAATCCTGTTGTTTAATTGTGAAGGTAATTTTATTTAAATCACAGTGTTACTAATACTAGTAGTAGCAACAGTAGTAGTAGTAGTAGTAGTACTAGTACTAGTAGTAGTAGTAGTATGAATGTATGTATGTATGTATGTATGTATGTATGTATGCATGCATACTTTTCTGTTTATAGTGACTTCAGAGGTAAGAAGAGTGAATTGCTTCCATGGCACCTGAAGTTGCATGTAGCTGTAAACTTCTTAATTGGGGACCTAGGAACTGATCTCAGGTCCTGTGCCTATGCAAGGGAGTACTACTAATATCGCTCCATCTTTGAGAGTCATCTCTTCAGCCTAGAATCATGGAGTCTTGAGTCATCAAATATTTCCTTCTTTGATTGATATTTTGTTGTGTATTATCAGTACATTCCAATTTACTTCATAGAATTCCAACTTGAAAACATTTTATTTTTATTTAAATAAGTCATTTATTTGGGGATTTTCTTTACTGAGATTGGATATGACAAAAGTTTCTACATGTGAAACTATGGAAATTAAACAAGTATTATTCAGTATTTATGTATTTAACATATCATGCATGAATACCAGCTTAATTATTTGCTGAAGAAACATGTATATCTATGCTTAAATATTTTCTTTTTTTCATTTATTTATTGATTCACTTTATATCCTGGTTCCAGCTGCCTCCCTCCTCTCCTCTCAAATCCATACTCACAACTTTCTCCCTCCTTGCCCACTCCTATTCTTTTAAAGGAAATTGAGTACCTCCAACCCTTGAGGGCAAGTGAGATGTTGTGGAAATGTACTGGAAACAACTCTTTAGAAGAAATAGCTTTGATGTAGTTGAGGTGGGATCAAACACTAAGCTGGAATGGAAGGTCCCAGAATCTCAGCATCCCAGAGCATGAACCTTGTCAGGCCTGTCTTCCTTCGCCGTCTTTCTGCAATATATAAACCTTACAAGTAGCACATAGCTCTGTAATGGCATTCATATGGAAGGTGTGAGGAGCAAAGATCAGTTGATGAAGATCAATAAAGAAAGATAAGTGTCTTCCTTTAGAGGTTATTTTGATCATATAATCAAACTAACATATAAATTTTTATTCATGCAGTCTTAAAGATTGTATATAATAATAAGTCATGAAAATTTTGTATCTTATTGGTGTTATTGGGTGTATATAGACATTTAAATCTCAGCTGGTTCTAGAGCTGTCTCTGTGTACAGAGATATAGCATCACCATATATATCATCATGTGTACATCACCACATACACATGACCTAGTCTTTTGACCATGTTAGTCTCTTTCTTCTAGTCTGTAGGCAAGTTTTTTGGGATGTCTCTCGTTGTCATCTCTAACATTTATCAACTTGAAAGGAACCCAGAGTTTTTCTTTCCTTGTGAAAATATAGGCATAAACCAACCCCTAGAATAACACATTACTCATTTTCTATTCTGATGACAGAATACCCTCAAAATAAACACTTTAGTTAGTTTAGCATTTTTTTTCCATATTCCAATGTCTTTTAGCAGCCATAGTTTTTTGTTCATTAGCATTTTAAAAATGTAAGGTTAATAAAGCAATATGTAATCTATCTCCAGGTGTTTTTATTGTCCTCTTTTGCCTGTTAAGCATCTCCTTTAGATACAATTAAATCTCTCTACAATTGCATGTCCTTTAGAATTATGTGATATTACTGTAACATGGCTTATCTTATAATATGCAAAAACACCTGTTTCATCTCAGAGATATATGTCTGACTATTGTCCATTTTAATTTATATGGGTATTTCCATCATGGTCATAGCTTCCTACAAATGTATAATATCAGAATCAGCCTTCTCTGAGGTTAAGGAGTTTGTCCATTGAAATCCTGAATACGTGTGTATAGTATGATGCACATATTTCAATTTATCAAACTCTGTAAAATGGAACATACTCCTTTGCCAAATTTTATTTCTTTGGAAAATTTTGAGGCTACTTCCTGTAGGTAATGGAGTTTAGTTTTAAAAGGAACAAGAAGGACAGTGCCTCATAATTTCCTTGTCTTGTTGCCAAGTAATAGAGAATGCTTTCTTTAAGCCTTTACTGTTACCATGGTGTTTTTCTTTTTATGAAATTCTTAAGCTTCTTACAACCTTTCTTTCAAAAGCTGGTCAATTTCATTATTACCTTGTGATGGATGACCTTGCAGACCTGTATGGGTTCTTATTTGTATTTTATGTATAGTGAATGACTTCTATTTCTGATCATTTGTTGTAGCTGAGTAACCAGAGAAGTCAATTCAGAATCACCTTGAATTAGTTCAGCAGTCTCTATGTGTAAAACAACCCTTTCTGCATATTGAGAGTCAGTTACTATATTAAGAGACTCTTAAAAAATCTGAGAGTACCATGAATATTTTATATAATTCAAATTTTTGAACCAACTTATAGGAACTCTCAGACAACTTACTTACATCTTCTGATTTATATATTCTCTTTCTTGATTTATTAGTATCAGTGTAAAATGTACGGGCTCCAGAATTTGGAATTTTTTACTTATTATACAAGGGAGAATCAAATTTGTTCTTTTAAATAACTGAAGTCACCTGTTTTTAAATTACCTGTTTTTAAACTCTCCCAAGAAATTACTTCATGCTCTTTGTCAATGCTCATCTTGTGCCCTTAATGAGACAATCTCTGCTTTCGTAAAAGGTACCAAATTTTCAGCTGGATCCATTCCAGCTAATTGTCTAAATCTCATTTTTTCTTTTACTATCAATTTAAAAACCTTCTCTATTAGGTTTTAAATATCTTACTCTGCTTATGTGATAAAAGAATATTCTGAGATATAATCTTCCCTCTGTATGAGAATTCTTGTAGGGGAATGAGTAGAAGTAAGATAACTAAGATGTAGGCCATTTTTGGGTTAATACAATCTAGATATGTAGCCTGTAGTTTCCTTTCTAGCAGAGCTAACTCCTCAGCCTTGGCTGATAACTTCCTTTGACTATTTAAATCTTTATCACCTTGTAAGATATGAAATAAACTGTTTAGCTCTTGAGTAGCCAGGACAATTGGAAGGCACACCCAGTTAATATCTCCCAATAATTTCTGAAAGTATAAAAGTCCTTAATGGGTTTCTTTTCATTTGTACCTCTTGTAGCCTAACCTTTTTTTTTTCAGTTTATTTTTTATTGGATATTTTCTTTATTTACATTTCAAATGTTATCCCTTTTCCTGGTTACCACTCCCAGAAAGCCCTTATCCTATCCCCCTTCCTCTGCTTCTAGGAGGGTGTTCCCCTACACACCCTTACACTCCTGCCTTCCCACCCTCGAGTTCCCCTACTGAGAGGAATCAAGACTTTACAGAACCGAGGGGCTCTTTTTCCATTGATGCCCAAACGGGTCATACTCTGCTTCATATGAAGCTGGATCAATGGGTCCCTCCATGTGTACTCTTTGGTGGGTGGTTTTATCCTCCAGGAGATCTGGGGTTTCTAGTTGGTTGATATTACTGTTCTTACTATAGGCATGCAAACCTCTTGAACTCCTTCCCTCCTATCCCTAACTTCTCCAGTGGTGACCCTATTAGGGACACCATTGGGGACCCCATGCTCAGTCCAAAGGTTGGCTGTAAGCATCCACCTCTTTCTTTGTCAGGCTCTGGCAAAGCCTCTCATGAGCCAGCTATATCAGGCTCCTATCAGCCTGCATTTCTTGAATTCCACAATAGTGTCTGGGTTTAGTGACTTTATATGGGATTATTCTCCAGATGAGACAGTCTTTGGATAACCTTCTTTCAGACTCTGCTCCACACTTTGTTTCCATATTTGCTCCCTTGGGTATTGTTTCTCCTTTCTAAGAAGGACTGAAGAACCCACACATTGGTCTTCCTGATTCTTGAGCTTCATAGGGTCTGTGAATTGTATGTTGTGTACTCTGAGGATCTGGGGTAGTATCTAAACACCAGTTAGTGCATACCATGTGTGTTCTTTTGAGATTAGGTTTCCTTGCTCAGGATGATATTTTAAAGTTCCATCCATTTGACTAAGAATTTCATGAGGTCATTGTTTTTAATAGCTGAGTAGTAGTCCATTATGTAAATCTACCACAATTTCTCTATCCATTTCTCTGTTGAAAGTCATCTAGGTTATTTTCAGCTTCTGGCTATTATACATAAGGCTGTTATGAACAAAGTGGAGCATGTGGCCTTATTACATGTTGGAGAATATTTTGGGTATATGCTCAAGAGTGGTATAGCAGGATGTTGAACAATTCTTTAGGTGTTTCTCTGCTATTTGAGTTTCCTCAGTTCAGAATTCTCTTTTTAGCTTTGGTTCCTACTTTTTCAATAGGGCCATTTGGTTCTCTGGAGGCTTTTTTATTTCTTTGTATATATTGGATATTAGCCTTCTAAGGGGTGTAGAATTGGTAAAGATAAGTTCTCAATGTTTTGGTTGCTATTTTTTCCTATTGACAGTGTCCTTTGCTTACAGAAACTTTGCAATTTTATGAAGTCCCAGTTGTGAATATTTGATCTCAGAGCATAAGCCATTGGTATTTTGAACCTAAAGAATTGTTCAACATCCTTAGTCATCAGAGAAATGCAGTTGAAAGAACCCCAAGTTTCCACCTCACATTAGTAAGAATGGCGAAGAGCAAAAGTTCAGAAAAACTTCCCTTGTGCCCATGTGTTCAAGAGTCTTCCCCACTTACATTTCTTTTTTTTTTTTTACTTAACTCAAACACTTTTTTTTAAAAAAATAGAAAACAAAGATATTATAATTTATTCAAAAGCTTATGTGTCAACCCACTTACATTTCTATCTGCTTTAGTGTATCTGGTTTTATGTGGAGGTCTATGCTCCATTTGGACTTGAGTTTTCAACAAGGTGATAAGAATGTACAATGTGCATTCATCTACATGCTGACCTCCAGTTGAGCCAGAACCATTTGTTGAAAATGCTTTGTTGTTTTCCATTGTATGGTTTTAACTCCTTTGTCAAAGATCAAGTTACCATAGGTACATGGGTTA